GAACATTAAGCCAGCTCCCTGATGACAGCTGAAGCTAAATCATGAGCTGAAAATGTCCCCAAAATAAAACAGAAAGAGACTGGCAAAGATTAATTCATGAAAATCACATGTAGGAAGAGAAAAATGAAAAGCAAAGCCACATGTGGCTGCAAAGCTCCTGACTGCATTTGAAAGTATCCTTTCCTAGTTTTTAAGAAATAAATTCAACCATGAAGAAAACCACGAGAATTTTATTGTCACTGGGTATTTGGAATAAGTGACAATGGACCAACAATTATTTACTAACTACAATGCATAAGGCAACATGCCAGGGACAGTGTAGATTTTAGATAAGTCCATAAACTCAAAGAGCTTGTAGTATTTTATGGAGATAATCATAAACACTATATTTTTATTTATCAAGTAAGTGATTGAAAAAAACATATAACAATAAATACTATCAACATTTAGGGAATGGAGATAAGACCGTTCAATGTAGAGGGGGAAAAAGCTTTATTGAGCAGGGCCTTAAAAGAAAGTTCAAATTTGGATAGGTAAGGAGCAGAGAGAGGCATGGTCAGGCACATTACATAATCAAAGAAACAAGTACTATGCCAAGGGAAACACAGGAATTTGGGACTGATGAAAGATAAGTTTGGAAAGGGGACCAGATGTCAGAGAACCAGCTTAAACAGTTCTAACTTTACTCATTGGAGTCACTGAAGGTTTTTGAACATTAAAAAAAAAAGATAGCACTACAAAGTTTTCAATGAGTTTTACTAGTATTAAAAAGGAAAGATGTTTCTTATTTTAACCTTCAATTTCTAGAAACAGCCTATTACCTAACATCAATTCTATAGTACAAACAGTACTATCCAGCTCTTATGTCTCCAAACCTCTGCCATTTTCAGTGGATAGAACAAAAAAATCTTCAGGAAAAGGAATTTCCTAAGAACTTCTGAGTAATAATGAAAACAGCATCTTTGATATAACCTCAGTACACAAACACACATAATTATGACTATCAGCTCTAAAAGAAAAGCAAAGTTATAAATTTCAAATACTCAAAGAAGTCTCAAATCTTGAAATCTAAATATTAAACATTTTATGATATCTTTAGGGGTAAGCAATGAGTATCAATTTTTTATTTTGTTTTTTACATGAGATATCCTTTGGCTTATGGAAGTAATTTGTTCTCATAACGCTTCCCTTGGTAGAAAATTTGCTTTTGGTAGTTTATTAATATTTATTAAAAGTTATAATTAGCTTCCCCTATGCAATCACCATTTGAAAAATAAAATCCCCAAAATCATTGTTTCCCCTAATAAACAAACACCTCTATAAAACAAGAGTTGAAAGCAGATATAGAAAGGGTTAGGGGAGATACTCTAAAATAACAGGATACAGCACAATAATAAAAGGACATGAAATAAGAGCAGATATATTAAATAGTTCAAGAAAGAATATAAGAGAAAAATAAAAACAAAACAGAAAAATAAAAAAGCCTTTGGATGCAGCATGAAGGAGAATAAACATTGCTAAAAATTTACCAACAGTCATGGTGTGCAAAGCAAGCAATTAAAATAGAAATTAACAGAAAATTTAAAAGGACCTCCAATATAAGCATGATTAGCACTCTCAAGAAAAAGAATGCAACTCAAAAATGTTAGCATTCAATTCATGATATATTTTCACTCAAGTACAATGGCCCACATAAACATTTTTGAAGACAGAAGACAACAGAGAACACAGTTCTATATTATCTATAGTGATGGCAAACATCACCAGAATACTGGGGCCATAGTTTAGAAACCTTATAAAAGTATCTCATTTAGTTCTACTAACACTCTCAGAATGAATGAATGATACACCAGTATTTCTATCAAGTTGTAAAGTGAAATGATCCTTTGATGCCTTACGCCCAAGTCTCTTTTTTAAGATTGTTTTTATTGTTTAGTTGGTTTTATTGTTGTTGTCTGGTTTGGTTTGGTTTGTAAAATTAAAGCGTAATATGGGCAAGCACTTCTGAAAGAGACTACTCTTGATCTTTAGAAATTTCTTTGGGAAGAATCTGGCAGTCTGAATTGAAGATTATAAAAACTTCTTCAATCATTCAAACCACAGAGGACACTGGTTTAATTAGAATTTTCCCTTTCTGATTTCCTTCTTGTAACACTTTTCAAAGACCAGCTTTTTCTTCTAGGTAATTGTGGAGCTGGGTGAATTAAGTCAAAAGCTACTCAAACCTCTCAAAAGTGAACGTCTAACTTAAGGAACATTACATAATTTTGCATCCCTAACAGCGTCAGCAGCTGATTTTTATTCTTTTATTCTTGAAAATTGTTTACACCATTGAAACAGGGATATGTATGTAAGTTGGACATCTCTCCTTCTTTGGCCTACTTCAATTGACACAAAAACAAAATATTTTTCTCTCTTTTATGAGTTCACAATTTCCATTATTACCTTTTATCCATCATTTATTCTGGCCTTGGGATTATAGTAATATAAAAATACAATTGAGAGTTTAAACAGGGAATGTTCAATCGACTAAAATGTCTTGTTTGGCTGTATATTGCAGTGGTCTCTAAACTATTTTGATCATACAATCCTAGTAAGTACAAGATTTGTGGGTATATATGCCACGATATGAATATATTTACTTACAGATTATATTCACATGTGAATGTACTCTGTACATTATAAAAATAGAAATTTCTGAAGAATTCAATAAAGATAAAAATATTTTATTAATGGCAAATAACTTTTTGCTCTCGCTAGAGATTATTAATAATATTTAACAAAAACAATGTGATTTAACATACTTTATTATTTCCGAACATCTTGGCTCTATTCTATGTGATTGAGCAATTTAAAGTTCAATTTTTTTGACATTTGGTTTCAATGTCTGTCATAGTTTCTTCATGAAAACATGCAGATCCAAATGGGAAAATGTCATCATGCACCTGTACCCTCAGCTTTTAATTCCATCTTCTGCTAGTACAAAGGCTTAGGGGTTTTTTAATTTGTTTTGCTTTTAAAAATCATTTTGTTTTTATTGCTAACTGAAATTCAGCTAGCAAACGTCCATCTTTCCTGATATCAATTAATTGCTCTTGAAAACGTATTAAAGCTATTGAATTTTTATGTTAAAAATTGTGTCCTAAAATCACTGCAACTTTGTGAGATATTTTTAGCCAGGTTAGGATATTTCATTTTTAACTTACTACACATGCAGATGTGAAGAGTTTTAATAGGTGACTCACGTTATCATTTAAAATAAAATCGTATTTTCAAACATCCATTTTAAAAATGCTCTCCCTGTAGCATTTCTTCCAAGAAGCAGTTACTTTTTCATTCATTGTTAAAACATTGCTTTTACCTTGAAGGGCTATATTTAAGTATATTTTGTAACCAACGAGGTAGCATCTACTAAAACCATTTAATACATATAAAGGCAGCAAATCTGGACAACTTGTCTTTTTGTAAAAGGAAAATCAGTAATAATTTTTAGTTCCTTTGTTAAAAACAACCACTGTGGGGTAGAATTATATTGATATTCATTACTCAGCTCATCACAAAATATATACAAAGATGCTACTGTATCTTAAAGGGCTTGCTTTTACAAAATGCAACTAAGTAATGTCCTATAGTATTTTGTATGCATCTGGCTTTAACCTCTTTGCTCTTCAATAGCTTGCTCAGTAGCTTGCTTGCGAATGATGCACCAAATGAATTTCATCTATGTCACTGTAAATGATAATGAGGGCTGCTCCTTGTTCAAATAACCTGCTTGATAATTCCTATTGAGCAGTGCTGGCTTCTGGTCATATTTTACTAAATTACTTTTATCCCAAATGGGAATCTCTGCCAGATGTCCCCCAATATCCGTTCTCTCTCCTTCCTCAGTATCAGAATCTCTGTTAGTGTGCACATCACTGCCCACAGCAAAGACTACATTTTCCAAATCCTCTTCCCCTTGTACCTATGCATGGCATCAGAATTAAGTTTTAGTCACTGAGATGTAAGTAGAAATAATATATAGCCTTAAAAAGTGGGATACATCTTCTGCTTCCTGTCCTTCTAACTAGCTGGAATTCATATGTGATGGCTGAAACTGAAGCAACCATCTTCAAGAAAAGAGGGAAAAGCCAGGTGTTGATGCAGCCAGAGCAACAAGGGGGAGATCCAGATCCTTCTTGACTGTGTTGTCCTCATTCAGTCCTGGGTTGCCTATGTTTATGTGAGGGAGAAATACATTTCTATCTTGTTGAGCTTCTGTTCTTTTGAGTTCTCTGCCTCTTGCTGGTGTACCGAATCCTAATTAATACACCTGGTAACAGGGTTGATGAAGGGCACATGCTGGGAGTCAGAGAAGAGACAGCTCTGCTGCGTTCTCACGTCAGCATGTGCTTGCACTATTAATATTACCTTCAATCTGCATTTTCCTAACAGAAACTGCTTTTAAACCATTTATCCATTTTGTCAGGATTAGTTCATAAGAACTACATAATACAATCTTCAAATCCACTTCATAGGTATGTGTGAACTGCAACATGTGTCCATAGCTTTGAAAGCAAATGAATGGGGGCCACCATTAGGCAATTCCAACCCTTCTCTCCAGACAACCCAAGAACAACCTGTAACCTGTGTTTGTCTGAAATATAGACCGTGCAAAGACACCACATCTGTGCTAAATATTAAGAAAGTTTTGTTTTTTCTTGGTTGATACATAAGTATCCGGAGAAGTTCTGCTTTCTTCCTGCTCCTCTCCTGCCCCTACTAACAAGTGCTTTTATGACCTGCCTAGTGTGCAAGTACTCTACTCACTTTAGAGCCCACTGTCAAGATTGTGGACAGACTCATAGCTAACTAACTACAGATCATAAAACTACGCTACAGGACAAAAATGTTCCTAAGTGAAAAATCAGCATAAATAAGTGCTCTCAATAAAACCAAAACTTTGTAAAAGCAAATGGTAAATCAAAAGGTGGGTATACGTAAAGATTTTAATGCCTTACCTAAACACTTCAAGGATAGTCCTTTCTGGTAATTTGGGAGCCACCTGCCTAAATGCTTTTTTGAAATCTTCCAAAGTTAAAAATCCACGATCTATTTGAAAACAAAATATAAAACATTCACTTATTTTTATAAATCCTATGCACTGTCAGTTCAGCCAGTTTTGTGTGAAACTTTATTTTAATATGAGAAAAGTAGTATTTTATAGTTCATTTTACATATAAGATAATCCAAGATTGTCTCATTTAATAATTTAAGAATCTAGCAATACTCTTTCAGTACAGTCCCAGCTAATCTTTTTTTAAACATTTCTTAAAAATTTATTTATTAGAGATGGGGTCTTGCTCTGTGCAGCAGTGTGATGGTGTGATCATAGCTCACTATAAACTCAAATTCCATGGCTCAAGGGATCCTTCCACCTTGGCCTCCCAATCCCAGCTGATTTTGAAAATCACTTCCAGCCCTGTCATTTTGCTGATTCTCTAAGTCCTATATGAGAAAGGACTATACAGAGATATGCACTATCATAATCACATTAGGCTTTGAGTCTTTGTGAGTTGTCAAAACAACTCAGTCTTCAAAATTTATTTCTTTTCTTTGTTCAGTATTAAAATTATGATATATTAATATTTAGGGGAAAACCATAACATCAGCCAATACACTGAACCTAGACTCTGCAAGTCTTTTTATCCTGTGTGTGACCTGTGGGGCTTACAGGGTCTGCAACCATCCCTTTCAGCTGTACTCTGTGTGGGAACACAATTCCTCCCATCATGTGTGGGTCAGAGCAGGAGTTGCAGAAGCCACACAGTGTCTCACTTACATAGGTGGCTTTGGCCTATATCCCCATTTAGCCAGTCCTTTTGCTTCCTTACAATAAAGGTACAATATATAAGTCTATATGTATAATATATAAGTACAATTATATAACTATAAATATTAGTTCATCCATGGTAAATGTCAAGAATTTAAGATTATGATAGAGAAAAAAATTGCACCAACACCTAAGGTAACAGCTAATGAATACAGCAAAATAATCTTCCAAGTATATTGTATATTTAATTTACTGAGTATATATTTCCATTTCCAGTTCCTTAATAGCATTTTATATTAAAAACACTTTTAAACATGTTAAAGACACTTACAGTGTACGTCAAAAGCTGTGAAGATGTGTCTTATTTCATTCCGATAGAGTTGAGCTTCCTTCTTTTTCCTTACAATATTTAAAAAACTCTCAAGTAATATACCTAAAAGTTGAGGAAAAAAAATTGCTAAAAATGATTCCTCTTTAAGAAAAACTAAAATAGAAATCAACAGTGATAAATATTATAAACAATCAAATTTTTTCTTAATTTTGGTGAACAGTATTTACTCCTAAAAACCTATAAAGGAAAAAAGACATTTGCTAAACGCTAAGTAGACCCAACAGTAGCCATCAATAGTGAAAACAAAACACACTCTTAGGGTTCACTGAGGCTTTTCACAGGATAAAGGAATGGTGACCTTGAAAAAGTGTAATACTCTTCCCTCTAACAGATCTAATAGACAGGCATGAAACTACTTATTAAACAAGGTTTCATAATTTTCTTTCCTTATGCTTCTTTGATCCCTTTTTTCCTAGCCAGATGTCATTACGGCAGGTTTTTTTCCAACTGGGAGATTGGGTCAGAGAAGTAGTTTCTCAAAAGTCAATACCAATTGTGCACCACAGATAAAGGTGGAGAGAATATTACATAAACAATAGAGCTGGCACCATCCCCAGCCCTGGATACACCCCACAACGTGTTCAGCAGCCTCAGGCTCAGCTTCCTGTGACTCTCATAATAAAAGAGCCCAGCATGATAATATGAGATTGGATACTGTGCTTACAATGTCTATTAAAATGAATTCTAATGTGATCTTTGTAGTAGGTTTAAAGAGCGAAGCCAAGAATTTAAACATTTTAGTGAACTGAGCCCTAAATATATAAAAAGAGTGGTTCATTTTTATAACTCAGGATTTCCATAAAAAACCATTATCACTCTGTTTTTAAAATAGCTCCCAATCATACAATAACCACATGCACACTTTTCCTTTTGGTGAGGCAACACTGAGCTGTATATCTCTTCTAAAATAGTTCCAATAGTATAAAAAAATGTAGAAATAATTTTCTTAATTTCCCATGTCTTTCTTATTTGTAGTTAAAGATTTATGGACTTTAAAAAAAAATCACTCTACATTTTTAAATGATTCTTTTACAACTTTCAAGACCTAATGTGGGCCAGGCACTGTATTAAGATAGAAGGGGACAGAGAACGTACATGATTCTAGTCCCAAAGGAGCTACTTGTCTAGCAGGGGAGGCAGTCATCACACAGGTTCAACTGCAAACATGCACATGATTGCAAACTATGGTGTGGGCAATGAAGGGAAAGACAGGAGGTTGTGAAGGAGAGTCAGTCACAGGAATTCTCTTGTAGGGTCAACTCTGATGAAGAAGAGATCTCTTAGAGGAGGAGATATTTAAGCTAAGACTTAAATCATGAGATAATACCAGCAGGCTACAAGATGTAAAGAGCACTGCAGGCAATGGAAAGAGCATGTGCCAAGGCCATAGGATGGGAAAGTGGGAAGAGGCCACTGTGACTGGAATGTAGTGAGCAAAAGAAAGAGCGCAATATGAGACAAGGTTGGAGATGGAGGCAGGGGCCAGAACTCACAGGCCCTTGTGGGTCACAGTAAATAATTTGGCTTTTAAGTTGCAATAGGAAGTCAACAGAAGGTCTGGATTGGGAAGTGATGTAAAAATCTGTTTTAGATTTTTAAAAGATCTTTCTGGCTATTGTCTTCAAAAAACGATTGGGGGAAGCAAAATATGTAAGTTAGGAGCCTACTGGCAAGAGATGTGGTTGCCAGGGTGCTGGCAGTGGGAATGAGAGGAGTGGAAGTTTTCCAGATATATTTTAGAATCGAAATGACATAGCTTGATGAAGAATTAGATGTGGCGGGTGAGAAAGAAGGAGATGTCAAGAATAACCCATGAATTCTGGCTTGGGTGCTAGGTGGTTTGAGGAGTTGCTTAAAGGGAGGAAAAAGTCTGTGGGAAGAGCAGGATTGGGGTGAGATGAAGAGGTGCCATTCTGAAGTGCCAAGTCTCCTGTGCTTCGTGCTTCGGAGACAACCAAGAAGAAAAGTGGAGGCAGCTGGCTGTATTGTAGGTGACAGGGCATGCCTCCAGCACCTAGAAGAGGGCTGGGCAGGTGCTCCATAAATATGTAGATCCAAACAGTAGCAATCAATAGTGAAAATGAAAGACATTTTGGGGGTTCATTTAGGGTTTAATTGTATTAAATTAGTATATGCAGCATTTCCCCAGTAGTCGTTAAAGACAGGTATGGATGCAATTCCATTCTCATCTAATCACCTTGTAGCCAAAGTACGTGTTCAGAACTGCTAGCTGAGGTTAAAATCGAAGTCTAGCCATATTCCCATGCCATATTCCCATAAGATCATGCCATATTCCCATAAGTCATGCCATATTCCCATAAGATCATATCCATAACTTCAGTTTTACGAACACCAAAAGTTAATCAATTAAATAACATTTAGATTAGTTGAAATTCTTGAATAATCTATTTACTGATGATGGCATGTCATATGAGACCCATCAGAACCCCTTACCACAGTCTACCTCTCTAGTCTCCCTAGCAAATTTCCCGGTGCTTCCCCAAGACAATAGGCCTTTTTGTACCCTACTCCTTTGCATGTATAAACCACATTGCTTGGAATGATGTGCTTTCTCGTTTTCTCTACTAGTAATTTATATACCTCCTTCCAGATCAAACTCAAGCATTATCTCCTCTTCGAAAGTATCTCTGATTTCTCTAAGATAGGACCCTTTTCTGTGACCTGACAATCTTGTGTTCATAAGACAATCATAGAATCTATTAGGATCTATGGTAATTAGTTGGCTGCATGTCTGCCTGAGACATGCTGAGGGAAGGCACTGTACATTGTTCCAAATTTTATCCCCAGTGTTTAGCAAGATGCCTAGCATGGAGTAGGTATCCATTACTTGCTTGGTGAATAAGTAACATGCTATGAATAAATAATAACAAATAGGAAGGTGTTATTTCTAGTTTTTAGCAAAAAGCATTAAAGTGTGTATGTGTTTTCAGGAGAAGGGAGTCTTGCTGTGTTGCCCAGGCTGGAATGCAATGGCTATTTACAGATGCGATCATAGCTCACTGCAGTCTTGAACTCCTGGCCTCAAGCTGTCCTTCCGCCTCAGCCTTCCCAGTAGCTGGGACTATAATAGGTGTGTGCCACTACACCAGGCTTAAAATGTGTGTTTTAAATAATCTTATAACTCTGTAAATTAATGCCAGAAAGGTCACTTTTTATTCACATAGTCAGCAAAATAAACCATTAGACATTCCAATTTCTTTTTTTTTTTTTCTTGAAGACAATGTGACTGAACCAATTTCTTAATACATATAATATAGTAAAAAAAAATTCAGAGAGAAAGGAAATGCATGCATCATATTTGCTCTTAAATTATCACTGCATCTGACTTAGAGAAATGATGAGGGGGAAAAAGCACAATTTGATGGTTCTTGTGTGATTCACAAGAAAAAAAAGCACACAAGTTGTGCTATCTTTTAAATTACATATTTAGATAACTCATCAGTATTTGAAGCTATAAAGTGTTCAGGTCTTTATTTCACAATGTTGTGGGATAAAAAGTAAATGTTCTTTAGTTTTCAGTAGGAGAAAATGTCTGTAGATTTAAACTGTATGCTTATTACTACTTAAAAAGAGAAACAATCTAATAACACAAATAACTCTGTATGTGTAATCAAGTTCTTTCACACAATTTTCCCACAGAAACGTATACCTTATCTTTTAAAGTCAATACTCTACGAGTCAAACTCATTGAGTATTTATTAAACTGTGTGAACACATCCCCTCCCTCCATGCCCTTAACTTGTGTTAGTCTTCCAAGGTAACACATAGCCGAATACAAGCTCCTTTTCTATAATAAAAAGGATAGAGAAGCTTTCATTCAGCTTAGCTCTCAGGTCGTAGTAATAAGATCACTTTTCAAAGCCAATACGTAATAATTTGCTATTCCTAGAGCTCTGCAATGCAAGCGCATTAATGTAAGTTGTATACATCTTGCTCCTCTTTAAATGGCCCAGAAATAGACTTCCTACTACTAGCTCCACCTGCTGTCAAAACATTCACACCTAAAATTACCACTTCACAAAGACTTTCAATAAATCTATTGAAATGCATTACCTGTGTCCTCCCCCACTAGTGAAAGAATATATTCAGAAAATTCTAATTTCAAAATATAATGTTGAGTCCTCTATGTACACTGTTCTACTAATAATAATTGCCTGAACACACTTTACTATAGTAACAAATTAGGATCACAACATCAGGGACCATGGAGATCTAGGTGTCCATGTGTTCACTATTAATATGTCTGCAGAAGGTATTCAGAAATCGTCTATGTAGTTAGTTGGACTCTATCAGTAGTTTGCAGATATTTTTTAAGCTGTAGGAAAGGTTCTTCCTTATGAAACAGGAAAGCCTGATGTGTAGAGGAGATGAAGACAGAGCTATTTGGTTTCAAGCAAGGTGTACTCCCCACCTTCCCTGTCCAGCAGTACCCCTGAAGTGTTCCCATAGGACCCAGGATTGAGGGTCATCGCTTAAAGCCACTAGAATCAATGATCTTTACAAATTATTCCTGACTCTGCAAGTCTGCATTTCACTATACATTGGAAAACATCTCCTGCATTTTATAAACAATCCTTGGCAAAATGGACTCTCTTTATGTTCTATAATATATATATATATATATATATATATATATTTTCCTTTCTAAACTACTTAATCCATGTGATATAGATATGTCATAGAGAGAGAGACTAGGAATACTATCTTTTCTACTTTTTTGTTTTTAAGCAGTTTCCTAGGAGGGTAATCATCTTTCACCACAGCAGTGGGTGTATTCAAAAAATCCAACAAAACTATATAAATTTTTTTCCTTGAAAGTTCCATTATGTATAGTTTTCTGTGGGTCACAGTTCTAAGCTTTGGGGTCAGTGCACACAGAGAAATCCTCTTGAAAATGAAGTAGTCTAGAGTCTGGCTATCACAGTGAGCTCAAATTAGAAACAGCAATAAACCTGGGGAGACTGAAGGAGAAAACAATAAAAATGCCAAGTTATTAAGACTGTAAGCCTGGTCCTAGATTT